TGTGTAGGAGACAGTAAGTTTGGCACAGGACAGAGCAGGGTTTAGGGCTGCTGTACATAGGGTCGCTATGAGTCGCAGGTGACTCAACGGCACATAACTACAACAATAACAACAGCAACTAAGCATTCCAGGGAGCTCTTGTGGACTACAGGTAAAGAGCTGCCCTGCAATCATGGAGGGAGAAAGACGAGCAATCTCCTTCAGGGTGAATTAGTGACTCTGAAAACCCGCTGAAGGCTCAGGTGTGAATGCTGTCCAACTTTATGGAACAACAACAACAAGAAAGCACTCCATATCATGCTGCATTCCCCATCATTCCAGATATCCCTTGTATTATAGGTGTTTGTCACTTGTCCAGGACCCTGGTAGCACAATGGTTAAGCTCTTGGCTGCCAACTAGAAAGGTCAATGGTTCTAACTCACCTCCTGCCTCTTGGGGAAAGAGAGGTGTCTGTCTACTTCCGTAAGATCATTGCTTTGGACACCCCATTGTCCAGTTCTACTCTCGGCTTTGAGTCAGAACTGGCTCTATGGTGACGGTTATGCCTCTGCCGGCTTTGGGCTACAGGATCCGTGAGAACAGCTCTGGTGTACCATGCTGATGATCTATATCTTCACTGCTTCTCAAGATACCTCACACAGAATACACATTACATAGATTTCAAGGTATGGCTATCTCTACCACTGCTGAAAAAAAAAATTATCGTGAGAATTTTTAACCGGAACAAACAGCCTAGGGATACATTTATCCCTCTGTACCTTCCCTGGTGTTACTCTGTGACTTAGCTGTATGATGCTGTGGTATGGTATCATCATTTATTGTCTCCACAGCCCTACTGAATCCAGATTTAAAGAAGACAATTGAATGTGCCAAGATCATTGTACAAGGAAAAGATGGGATGGGAGCGTGGTAAGTGATCCATCTTGCAAAGAACTATGTTAAAGGCTGCCATTCATTCATGAGTGGAATCTTGATTGTGACTGCTATTGTATATGTAATTCCAAACGATGGAGTCCTACCTCTCCAATGATCATGGTTTTTTTTCTGCATGCTTTTTTTTTTTTAAATCTTCCCTGCTTATATTTTTCCTCATACTTGAGAGTCTGCTGGTTCATTTCTTGTTTTCTGTCAAAGGTCTTTCACGCTTCAAATGATCATGTTATTGTTGTTATGTGCCATAGAGTTGGAGCTGACTCGTAGTTGACCCTCCAGTGGGTTTTTAGGGTCTGAACATCTCTCGCAAGAGGAGATTGTCCATCTTTTTCCCTTGGAGCAGCTGGTGGATTAGAACCACCTGCCTTTGCATTGGCAGCGCTAATCCAGAAGTTGCTAGTTTGAAGCCCCCAATTGTTCCGCAGGAGAAAGATATGGCATCCTGTTTCTGTAAAGTGTTACAACTTTGGGAACCCCTATGGGGCAGTTCTCCTCTTCCTTGTAGGGTTGTTAAGCACTGACACGGACTCAGTGGCAAGGGATTTATTAAGTGCATTTAAAATTGAGATTGTTGTTGTATACCATCGAGTGGGGACCAGCTCAGCTGACCATCCAGTGGGTTTTCAGAGCTGCTGGTAGATTCAAACTGTGTGCCTTTACGTTGACAGTGTAATTCTGATTTTGTTGCTATGTGCTGTTGAGTCATCTGTGTCTCATAGCGACCCTGTGTTCAATAGTTCTGAACTCTATCCAGAGCCAATCTCATCATCTCCAACACACTGAGCCCTAGTACCCCAGGAACCGAGTCAGTTCATCTCACCCAGAGTCTTGTCTCCTGCACTGTCTCTGCACCCTTCCAAGCATCCAAGGATTGCTTCCTCCTGGCCACATGCCCAAAGTATGTAAGACGAAACTCCAAAATCCAAGTCTCCAAGGAGCAGCTCGGTTTCACCCTCTCCTGGACCGTTCTGTTTGTTCTTTTGGAAATTCACAGTATTTTCAACACTCTTCTCCAGAAACATGACTCAAAGGCATCAATTCTTCTTCCATTATCCTTAGTCATTGTCCAGCTCTCTGATGCATAGCAGGTAATTGTGAAGACCATGGCCTGGATCAGGTACTGTTGCTAAATTGTCCATGGGAAAGGGGCACCAGTTTATAGCTCTTGTCACTGTAAGAGGTGACTTGTGTCCCCTTCGTTCATTAGACGGGAGTGCTTAAAAAGTATACAGTTTTGAGAAATTGAGAGGTAGAAAATGATGCCACTGGTTTTGTTTTGAATTTTCAAACAAACAAAAAAATTGATTATTTTTTCAGATGTTTATTGGCTTTTTAAACTTTTTTCTGTGAACTGCTTACTCCTAGTCTTACCCTATTTTTCTACTGGATCAATAGTGTTCTCTTTCATTGATTTTGTGTGTTCTTCTTAAACTATGACCATTAAACTTACCCACAATATTTATGCACATTTTACTCAGACTTTTGTACTTGTATTCCTTAGAGGGAAGGATTCTGAGGCTCTGTCTAACATACTTTGGACATGTTGTAAGGAGAGACCGGTGCTTGCAGAGGGACATCATGCTTGGGAAGGTGGAGGGACAGCACAGGAGGGGAAGGCCCTCTATGAGGTGAATTGATTCAATGACTGGGGTAATCGAATGGGTGTATGTATGGGAGACAGTGCGATTGGCACAGGACAGAGCTGAGTTTTGGGCTGTTGTACGTAGGGTCACTTTGAGTCTCAAGCTACTTGACGGCACATAAAAACAAACAACAAGAAGGTATTTTTGACATACAGGAGTTTTATCTTTCTATGAAATCAAAATTGTCAATCTCTTCTTTTGTGGCATTTGGGTTTATATGAAATCTTGTTAAAAGCAAGCTGGATGTCACCCTGCACTTTATGAATGGCTAGTTAGTGACCTCAATACCACTTAATAATTTATCCGTTTCTCTCACTGATTTGGCAGATTGTGTTTTAAAGTAAAAGATCATTTAATAATGCTCATTGTCTACTGAATACTTGAGATATCTTTCACACATAATTTCAGTTTTGCAAATTTTTTAGACGCTCCACTAACCCTTTAAGCATTAATTAGCTAAATCATCTGTGTTGTATGGTTAGCTCAGGCTGATCAAGGTTTGTGTTGTTTTTTTTTAACTTGCTCAAGAATTCTCAGTGAGATGAGATCTTGTTAAGTTAATAGGCAGCCAGTCCTCTTCCAAAGCTCAGAAAGGGCAGCTCTGCCGAGTTTCTCCTGGAGCATCTGTTCAGGGCCCTGGAGAACTTCAGGGTTTCTGTACGTACAAGCGTCTGTTTCCTCTGTTGATCTATGTTAAGAGGAAACAGGAGGGTCTCATCACCTCCTTCAACTGTGAGACCTTTCTCTTAGAAGACCCCTGGAAACTTGCTTTGCTAAGGATTTGGACTAGATAAACAGGAAAATTAACAATTAGGTGCTTGTTTGGAACTCTTTGTTGTTGGGTTGTGTTTGTTTTTTTTTTTTTTGTTAATTAATTTTTTTTATGTTCCTACTAGATTTATTATTTATTTTACAGGTCACTATTATTTGTATAGGCTGAGAAGTGACCTACGATAGCTCAATATATTTTAATCTTTTACAAGTTCTCTGGAAATTTGAGAGTTTTCTTTCATTTTTTCCCTAAGTATTTTGTGATGTTCTCTCTTTTTTTTTTTTAGTCTCTTTTTTGTTGTTGTTGTTTTAAATAATTTTAAAGAACATTTGCAGAGATTTTGGATTTCCATTCATTCATTGCTGCACTTCTCTCTCCGCTCAGCCCCCCGCCCACAGTTCACTCCTCTTTTTTAAAAGTTTACTTTTAAGAAACACTCCCTCCCTGGTACACAATCTCCCCGCACCCCCTCACCGCCCTAAGTACATTCCACTATGCAACCCTAATTAATTTTTTAAATTAATTTTAATGAATGTTTACAGAAACTTAAGGTTTCAAGTCATTCATTATTGTACTTTTCTCCCTGCCCACCCCCACCCCCAATTAGCTTTTCTCTTTGAAACGTAAAAGAAAAACTCTTTCATTGTTATACAATCTCTGCCCCCAAGTCCACTCTGCTGCGCAGCCTTCATTCTGGACTC